AAGTTTAGGTGAGTTGGATTCAGCTATCCAGCAGAATTTGCAAAGTAAGGTTCATCTTCAGTTTTCAGATGTGAAGATCTAAGTATATCCTCTATTGTGATGTGTTGTGATAGGAAGATCTTGATAATTTCTTGTCTTGAAGACTGTGAGGCAGGCAGAAGGGCAGAGGCAAGATGTTGTTGCAGATAGAATAGAGACCTTGTTTTCAGGCAGTCCTAAATAATTTGCTTTCTTTATCATTTGGATTTATGTATATTTGACATGTACAGGTATATTAGACACAGTAATTAAGAGAAAGCATTTGATTCTTTTGGTGCAGAAGTTTAGTGGTGTTTTGTACTAAAATAAGCTGTTGTTAATAAGCATTATTTTGAGACTTGCGGCTGACTTTCAAGTTTACAAGTGATTATTGCCTAAAGAGAAACTCTGCACTGACTCTCGCTTTGTCATGGAAAAAAGGATTTCTTTACAAGCAAAATGAGTATATTCTTTAAGTGGGGACTTTGGTTTTAAAGAAGGCAGCACAGCTTGCTAGAAGCTTTAACGTAACATTTCCAGGCACTGATGTTTCTACAGTTGATATTAAGAGCTTGAGTTATTCTGGAACAAAATTAGTAGGACATTATTGCCTGGGATTTGAAGTTCACTTGAAAATATTCATTCAAATCCTGAGCATACTTGACTATGCTGCTTCGTGTAATTTTTGATGAAAAAATTGAGCACACAGGTAGCTACAAAGACCGAAAGCATTGCTGAACCAACGCAGTACAGAGAGAGCAGTGCTTATTCAGCTGCCTTTAGAGAAAAGGAATTACTGGAGCCATGATGAATTTCTTGGCTACGCTGTTGTTCTATGAACTGCAGCAGCAAGAACTCTTAATAAATGCGTGTTCTTGAGTTAAAAAAAAAAAAATGCTGTGCTTTGAAAGCAAACTTGTGTTACCTTATTGTAGCTTAGTGTTACAGAGCCATGCTTCCCAATTCTGGTTAGGGAAGGGAGGGAATAGAATGTTAAGAAAGGATATTTTCTTTCCAATTTGTGACCTGTGTTTAAGGATATAAATCCACTCTGTGCACTATGCAGTATTTTTTTGTTTTCCCATTAATGCAGTTCTGGTATCACACAAGTCAGATCTGTTGTAAGTCATGAAAAAGAGCAACAGTGGGCTCAGCATTGAACGCTATTGCGTAGTGAGTGGCCTAGGAGCAGAAACGGCAGGTTGGAGTTGTTTTTTCTGTCTGGAAATGTTGAGCTTCACTCACTTTGAACTACAGCTCAAAAATAGAGAAAATGCTACTACTTGGAAATTGCAAATAGGATGCAACCTTACTAAACAATTTGCATTAATCAGTAGGCTAGTTAGGAGTTTAAATTCTAAGGAAATGGCTTTTTTTCCCATTAGTCTTCATCATCTTTTAAACTAATTTGTTACTAATAACTTCACAAAATTGGCATTGCTTATCCTCAGCCTGGTTGTTAAATATTTTCAATTACTATTCATGTCTTTAAAATGGACCTGGCTCAACTTTTAGCTGTTTTAGATACTGTTTTTACAATTGAAACAAAGTTGCAACCTTCAAATAATATTTTTAGTCAAGGAGACTTTAGTTTTATTTGTTGAAGTAACTAAAGCAATTGTAATATTGCCCTGAAATATGTAAATGTACTCTTTGTGGTCTTGGGTTTTTAATAGAACAATTTCTCAATACAAATTCCTGTTTGCAAGGTAAATATCTGTTACTATTTTCAAAACCTCTTCCACCATTTATGTGCTTATAGTTTGTCATAAATGATACTATTTTTATTTTACTTCATCCCAAAGCACGTTAAGTAATAGTACAAATAACAGGATATAGCCTCTGCCCAGAGGTGCTTACCCAGTAAAACTGATAGCACAGTATGGGCAAGGACGGGTAGGAAAGCAGGGTGGAACATGACTTGATCGAAGCCTAATACAGGTATAGAGTTACAAAGTCTTACGTAGGTAGAAAGTATTTTTCTGAAACTTCTCTTCAATGTGTGCCGTTAGAAATAGCTCTTAGTACAAGAAAAAGGGACGTGTGGATAAATTAAAATTTGATCAGAAAATCTGATAAAGGAACAATAAGCTTGAACACAGATTTTGATAAAATAACTGATTTGCCTGAGTCAGGTTTCAAAGCAATAAGAAGTTTGATACTCAAATTGAAACCATATTTCCTAGTCCTTTATGAGGATTTTAAATAATTCACTGGGCAGGAGTGAGTAGCATGCTGAAAGGATGACATGAATCACTAATTATTTGAACAATCTCACTCACTCTTGCGTAGGGAGGGAGCATGTCTTAGGCCTGGATATTGTTTATGATTTGTAAAAGAGTAAAGATGAGCAGCAGGAAAAAAGAGCAGTTCATGATTTCCCATACAGTGTCATTAGAGGGAATAACTGGGAAGAGGGAGTAGTTTTCTGCCATGATCTATTTAATCCTTGCCTTCCCTGAGATGGAAGGAGTGCCTGTACAAGTGCTCTTCATGGCTTGATTAGGGCTCATATTCAGAGACTTGGAAGTGACTCTACCTGTAAGGTATTTCACTAGAATGCTAATTCTGCGTACTTCTGTGGTAGCTTGAGTTTCCCTAAAATGAAAGGTGCCACCAAAGATACAGAACATAGCTACTTTTCATATGAACTTGGTTCTAAATCTTTTCAAATTCTAATTCTTTTCACTGAGACTATAGTTAGCCGAATAAATTAATATACTTGCATTTAGAGTTTTGTATGTGAAGAAATCAAGATGTTTTTGATTGAATTCTCTTAAAAGTCTTACTTGGAGGAAGTGAATACTGAACATTGAAACACTTTTTTTTTCTGGCCTATGTTCTTTGAAAATTATTATCATTAGTCAATTTGCATGATGTGTCAAGTAACTTCGTTATTGCAAATAGTATAACTGAGTAATTTGGAATCCCTGATATTTATAGACAAGGTCTAAACTTTTTTTTTTCTTTGGTGGTAATCTGGCAGTGGCCAGCCTGATATGAGTACCACAGTCCTTAATGATCACAGTTGCTTTGGTACATCTGAACATTTTCCTGTACATCTTTACATAAACTTGGGCTTGTTTCCACTTCTAATTTATAGTTGTGATACAAATCCTAAATGTCATGATAGCTTTCTGCTCTTACCCAGGAGCTATTTCTGAGTCCATGAATTTGAAGAGACTAGACTGTAGCAACACATGGTAGCAGTGCTACTTGTAGATTATGAAGCCAATTGAGGTGGTTTGTATTAGCACTGTTACATGCAGAACTTTTCAGTTTTGTTTATTTCTGAAAGTAAACAGTGTTTGTTGGTGGGAACTGTGTAATAGTAAGTTGTTAGTGACTGTCTTAAAGCATTACCTAGTAAAAGTTCATAGGAGTATGAAAATAAAAAGGCTAGTGTGTAAACAGACAAGTAGCACTGTAAGGAGTACGCATGATAGTGCATGTAGAAGGGCTGGTTTGGTCAGACAGTTATTGTAGTCACAATCCATATCCTTTGTACTTTGAGAAGATTTCATAGTAAGCTCTTTGTAGCTTAGCAATTGCCCTTGATCTCATGATAAAAGGGAGAATTTTCATCTAACTCAAATATTTAATGGCTGCAAATTTCTGTTAACTCTGCATTCTACTTTCAAGCTTCTAACAACAACGAAGTGTCACCCATTTTTAGTTGATGTAGGTAGTCTTTGGCCTTACAGCGGATTAATTTGTTGATATGAATCAAAGCTTTTATTGTTCAAACAAAGCAATATTTCTGAATTGGCTCATGGAAATATTAATGACCAAAAATGCAGCTCTTCTCTTCTGGGGTGACTGTCTTTATGCAGCAGGCGTTGGACCATTAAAGCCTAGGGAACAAGTTCACAACTTTGACACATTCTTGCTATTTAAGAAGCTTCTTCCCCTTCTCTTTGAGCAAAGCCTACTTTTTTATTGCTGGCTCTACCCCCTTGCTTCCAAAAGGACGGTTCCTTGTTAGGGACTTCCACATTTCTGCCATTCTGCACCTTCTGGAAGTGCAGATGACTTGATGATGATGGTGATCGTGGTTCTGTAGCTGAGCAAGCGCTTACCGTAACGGTAGCGGCACACAGACTGAGAACTCCCGCACACACAAAATAAGACTAGTTATTAGCATTTGGAAGAAATCTTCCTGGTAATGGTTGAATCTTGGAATCCACACATCTTGAAAATACAGACTTCCTTTTAGCTGGATACCCCCAGTCATTAACAGGCATTAATTGGAATTGGCTGTCTCTGTGTGGGAACTGAAAGGGAGGATTGTCTTGTAGGCTGAAAATGTCCAGCTACACTTCAGGTGTTAAGCCATCTCTTGTACCTTTTCCAGTGATTGGTATCTCTGAAGGGCTCTAACCAAGGTCTTAGGCCCCATCATAATAAAAGAACGTATGCTAGGCAGCTTGTCAGCCATTGAAAGCTGTAAATGCAGTGAATGGAGGAAACAGTATTAATTTCTTATCCTACCTACAGTGGAATGCAAGAAGCATCTTTCTCACCAAAGAGATACTATTAAATCTATTACAAGACTGACAAAGTTTGAAGCTCAACTTAGCTGTTTGCAAATCAGTTAGGATACATATGCACAAATGCTAAATTGAGTTTAAAAGTACTTCAGCATAGGGGGTAAATTTCATACAAATAAAACACTTTTTTTAAAAAAACAAGTTATTTCCAGATGCAGCTGATTACTCCTGCAATAGTTGTTAAATCAGTTCGGGTTTTTTTTGGTTTTTTTTTTAAATTGCTCTGTTCAGTTTGTCAATACCTAGCTTTATGGCCAGCCTCGTTTCAGAACAAATCAGACAGAAAATGTGGTAGTTTCTTAGTTAATGGTACAGCTCTGATCTTGAGTTATGTGAGTAAAAAGAGACAGAAAATTACTAATAATGAAGTGCAACACTATCAGACAAAACGCATTTGACTTAAACCTTTTCTCTTACTTTCTTTTTCAATAGAAACTATGTTCCAACTTCCTGTCAACAACCTTGGCAGTTTAAGAAAGGCCCGGAAAACTGTGAAAAAAATACTTAGTGACATTGGTTTGGAATACTGTAAAGAACATATAGAAGTAAGTATGATACCTCCCAAGTGTTGTAGTTAGAGTTAAAATGCTCCAGAGTTAGTGGGACTGTGAGGTCTGTGGTGTACGACATTTTTTTTTTTTCTTTTTCTAGACCTGTTTCATGAAATGTTAAATTTTTACTGTGACTTTTGAAGGAATCTCCTGTGTCCTCTTCCCACACCATGCTCCTCTGTTCTCATCAGCTTCTGAGAATGCTGCTGGGATTCCATTTGAGCCTTGTTCAGGCGTTGCTACCCTTGCATTGCTTTTTAAGTTCTACACAAAGTAGGACTTCGGGAATAACTTGAGATAAAATGTACCTGTAAGCACTTTTTAAAAAGTTTAGCGGAGACAAGATACACTTCAGGCTGTGACTGACTTGATACAGATTGAAGATAGGTTGTCTTTTGTTTGCATTGGATGCTTAAAAATAGGACTTGCTAACTGAATATTTAGGAATGAAGCAGGAGCGCAGTGCGGTGTAGGATGTGCTTGGGGGACAGAAGATGGTTCTGGGGTTTCCAGGAAGTGTTTTCAGTGCTAACAGTAGGTCACCAAGTTAAAAAAATCGCTTCTGTACCTGTGTCAGTCCTGGCAGGGAAGGGTTTTGTGTGACTCTTCTGGACAAACTTCACAACTGTTGTCTCAAAAGTGCACCTTCTCTCCTGAACACTGACTTCTGTACTGCCAGTTCACGCACTTGAACTCTCCGGAGTACTCAGCAAATTATGACCCGTTTGCTTTGACTTTTCTGTTAGTGTCTCTTTAAAGAGCATTTAAGTGAGATGAGTAAGAGAAAGAAATGCCAATTCTTTCAAATGTGTGGAGCAAGTATAATTTTTAAGAGTAAAATTCTGAATTGGGACAATGTTACTTTTAGCATTCGTTTCAGTGGAAATGCTATTTTTGAGTCCTCATGTGCTGCTGACCGATATGCTGAAGATGAAATGCCAAAGTACATCATAAGATTATTTTTTTTAATAGGAATTGGGCTTCTTGGACATCGTACATGTAGTCAAACATTTAAAACTTTTATCTGAATTCCTGTGTGAAATTAGAGTAATTAAAAAAACCCAAACCCAATCAAACACACACCCCTGCCCAGAAAAAAACCTAAACAAATAAACAAACTTCAGAGTTATGGTAAAGCATCTGTATGATCTGAAATGTACGGCACTAGCCTAGGAATACTTTTCTCCATTACTGCTTTTGAAAATGGGGCAGGTATGTAACTACAGTCTTGGGTTAATTAGGAGGATGAGTACTGACAATAGTTCTTTGGATGTTTAATGATATTGAGACTATTCACAATTCTCCCCCTCCAAAGAGGCGCATCTTCAACACCCGCACTTCCTTCAGTTAATAATACCTACTGTTTGCCAGTAGCACTTGAGAGGACTGCATGGATGCTTATGAGAGTTGCTTACGGGAGCAGTTGGTCTTTGGTTTTGATTCTCTGTACTCTCTTCCCGTCTTCCCCTTCTCCAGGATTTTAAGCAGTTTGAACCTAATGACTTTTATTTGAAAAACACTACATGGGAAGATGTAGGACTGTGGGACCCATCGCTTACAAAAAATCAGGTTGGTAATAGTTTATGTTGACACATCTGATTCTGAAGATGGTTCATACTAAAGGGTGTTTCACAAATATCCAAGAGCTTTTCCTGCAGTTTTACCCATTCATTGATCTTTTTTTGCTTACAGTTTGAGGGACAGCAAAAAGCTGCATTTTTTTTGTTTGGTTGTTTTGCTTAAGTAATAATCCTGGTCTTTAACTTAGTGGTCCAGATAGCCAAATAGTGGAGAACTGATTGGTCAAGAAACCTTACTCGTCCTTTGACAAGTGCATATTAAGAGCCCATCTTTTTCAAGCTTAGCACAATTTCACCATCCTTCCAGTCATAAGATCAACAATTTTATACAGGTTGTGATAAGTTTTTTACCTTTCCTTAAACGTTTCATTATCTGTTTTCATCATTTCAGAAGTTTAAATGAACACATCTAACTGCTGCTCCCTCTACTATTGCTGTGGCTCTGTTAGCTGTCTGGCATTCCCATAATCTGACAATGTCCCTGATTTGGTTTAGGCATGTATAGTTCTATACAGCAGAATTATGTGGCACTGGAAGTCTTACTTCTTAGATGTTTGTGAGCCAGTAATAAAGGAAATTTGAATTAAGCTAGAAGTGGAGGGAGGAAATAATACTTGATTCTGATTAAACATGTTTAAGGCAAGTCATGTGCACTGCAGTAACCTCTACCAATGGTACAATATGGAGTAGTACCAGCACTGAAAGAACAGTGAGAAGGTGAGAAATCTCTCTACAAAATAAGCCCCTTTTAGCATCCGAAAGATAGGTATTGCTCTTACAGGGAATGGAGACTTGTATTACGATGGATTCCTAGTGTAGTGTTAATCTAAAAATGTCCCTTTATTACTGTGTTCCATAAAAAACACTGATGTCCTTTTTTCTAGTTAATTCCAGAATAAAAATCGTAATATAAAAGGAGACAGCTTTTGCTTAGTTTGTTTTGTTGTATCTTGTCTCCAGCCTACCAGATGTCTGAGGCTTCGGGATGTGGATAGAAGCATATATTCCTATTTATTTATGCAGAGGGAGAGTACAACTCTCCAGCTACTTCAAATGATCTATGTGTAGCTTAATGCACAAGACTTGTTTTGACACTCGTGATGAATGTTTGTAACTATTTGAATTTCATGTCTTATCTCATCTGAAATGCCAGATTGCTTGTGGCTATCTCTAAGGCCAATGTAACTTCAGTTTCTGTTACAACAGTTGACAAGAAGTGCATCGCAACATGTTAAATATATTAAAGGTAAAGGGTGCAGGGAAACTGCAGGTGTAGAATTTTCAGATAGGTTTTTTTTTTTCTGATTCAAGATTGTTTTAAAAACCAGGTTTGTGCTTTGATCAGAAGGAAAAGACTTAGTGGCTTTAGGGGCTTGTGTAGCTTTAGTATATGCCTTGGTAAGCTTAAAACTATTTGTTCACCACAAATAAGTTTTGAAAAGCATCTTTTCTATTAAAGTTTGTAATGGATTAAGACACTGAAACAGCTGAAGTTATATGTAAGTCACTGACAAGCTGGAGTGCATGGAGCTCCTCTGAGGATGGGCAAGGAGCCACTGAGAGCTTAGGGGTCAGGATTAAAGTGAGCGCAGGGACAGGGGACATTATAGTGGGGGTCTGCTACAGGCCACCCGACCAGGGAGACCGAGGGGATGAGGCCTCTACAGACAGACAGGAGCAGCCTCACATTCACAAGCCCTGGTCCTCGTGGGGGACTGCAACCACCCCGATACCTGTTGGAGGGACAACACAGCAGGGCACAAGCAATCCAGGAGGTTCCTGGAATGCATTGATGAAAACTTCCTTCTCCAAGTGATAGAGGAGCCAAAGAGAAGAGGTGCCATGCTGGACCTTGTTCTCACTAACAAGGATGGGTTGGTAGGGGCTGTGAAGCTTGACAGCAGCCTTGGCTGCAGCGACCATGAAATGGTGGAGTTCAAGATCCTCAGGGCAGCAAGGAGGGTGCACACCAAGCTCACTACCCTGGACTTCAGGAGAGCAGACTTTGGCCTTTTCAGGGACCTGCTTGGTAGATACGACAGGATAAAGTCCTGGAGGGAAGAGGGGCTGAAGACAGCTGGTTAGTATTCAAGGGTCACCTCCTCAAAGCCCAGGAGTGATGCATCCCAACAAAGAGGAAGTCAGGCAAAAACGCCTGGAGGCCTGTATGGATGAACAAGGAGCTCCTGGGCAAACTCAAACACAAGAAGGAAGACTACAGAGGGTGGAAGTGAGGGCAGATAGCCTGGGAGGAGTACAGAGAAACTGTCCGAGCAGCCAGGGATCAGGTTAGGAAAGTGAAAGCCCTGATAGAATTAAATCTTGCTGGGGATGTCAAGGGCAACAAGAAAAGCTTCTGTAGGTACGTCAGTGGTAAAAAAAAAAAAAAACAAACCTGGGGAAAATGTGGGTCCCCTCCGGAATGAAACAGGCAACCTGGTTACCCAGGATATGGAGAAGGCTGAGGTACTCAACAAATTTTTTGCCCCAGTCTTCACTGGCAAGGGCTCCAGCCACACCACCCAAGTGGCAGAAGGCCAAGGCAGGACTGGGAGCATGAAGAATCGCCCACTCAGGTTTCAAACCATCAAAGAAACCTGAAGGTGCACAAGTCTGTGGGACCTGATGAGATGCATCTGCAGGTCCTGAGGGGACTGGTGGACAAAGTGGCTAAGTCACTGTCCATCATATTTGAGAAGTCCTGGCAATCCAGTGAAGTTCCCACTGACTGGAAAAGGGGGAGCATAACCCCCATTTTTAAAAAGGGAAAAAAGGAAGAGCCAGGGAACTACAGGCCAGTCAGTCTCACCTCTGTGCCTGGCAAGATCATAGGGCAGATCCTCCTGGAAACTATGCTCAGGTACATGAAAATAAGGAGGTGATTGATATGGCAGAGAATGGATTGAGAGCAGCCCTGAGGAGAAGGACTTGGGGGGGTGTTGGGGGACAAGAACCTTGACATGACCCAGCAATGTGCCCTTGCAGCCCAGAAAGCCACCCGTGTCCTGGGCTGCATCCCCAGCAGTGTGACCAGCAGGTTGAGGGAGGGGATTCTGTCCCTCTTCTCTGCTCTGGTGAGACCCCCCTGCAGTGCTGCATCCAGCTCGGGGGGCCCCAGCACAAGAAGGACATGGAGCTGTTGGAGCGAGTCCAGAGGAGGCCATGGAGATGGTCAGAGGGCTGGAGTACCTCTGCTGTGGAGACAGGCTGAGAGAGTTGGGGTGGTTCAGCCTGGAGAAGAGAAGGCTCCGGGGAGACCTTAGAGCCCCTTCCAGTACCCA